GCGGCGCGCGAGGCGCAGCACGAGTAGCCCAAATCGCGCATCAGCTCGGCGAGCTCGGTCGCGTCCGCCGCCAGCGCCGGCACCGCGTCGGACGGCGGCGGCCCGCGCCCGTCCTGGTAGGACAGCCGCGAGTCCAAGTCGGAAGGGTCTGCCGCCGCCGCCGCCTGCTCGCCGCCCACGCCGCTGTAGAGCAGCGGCAGCAGCGTCAGCGGCGCGTTCTCCTCGGGGTGCACGGCCTGGAGGAGCCTGACCAGCGCCGCGCGCGCCTTGTCCGCCGGGTCGCCGAGGAAGTAGAGCAGCGCGTGCGCGAGCGCGTCGGGCAGCGCGCCGGCCGCGGCGCGGGTGAGCTCCGCCAGGCGCGCGCGCAGGAACTTGTCGCCCTCGGCGGCCTTCTCCTCGTCGGAGAGCTGCGCGATGGCGAGCCCCAGCGCCAGCTGCTGCGCCACCGTCGCGCGCACCGCCTTGGCGAAGAGGGCGAGCCACTCCTCAGTGAGGGGTGCGGCCGCGGCCAGAGAGGCGCCGCCAATCGCGTCGCCGATGAGGGACGTGGCGTTGGGCCGCGTGACGAGCTTGGCGAACTCTTGCGCGAGCAGCTGGACCTTGAGCGCCGCCTGCGCGGCGGCGCGAAAGTCCACCTCCTCCACCAGGCAGCGCACGGTGAAGGCAAACGCTGACTCGCCGTACGCGCCGAGCAGGTTGTGCAGCTCTGAGACGGTGGCCTTCTGGTTCTTGCGGTTGAGGTTGGAGATGAGCCACCGGATCTGCGCGAACACAACCGAGCCGTAGCCCAGTACCTCGCCCATCGGCGGGCGGGGGCTCACAGAGGAGCCAGCCCCTGCGATTGGGGAAGCGCCAGCCAGAGCACTCTAAAAAAGACGCTTTGGTTCTTCGGTTCCCTGCGAACGCGCACCCCCCCCCACGTATGTGCCGGTCCGGGCTGGACCGAGAGGTGGGTAGCAGGAGTTAGGCACATTAGAACAGGAGTTCGGTCAGAGGAAAAGGTCTCCCTAACTCAAGCTATCACGGCGCCCTACGGTAGGGAGGGGCGATCACGGCGCCGCCCGCGTCGTCGGCCTCGCCTGTGGCGTCGGCCGCCGGGTTCTCTGGCGCCTCATCCTCAACGAGACGAGCCGCCGCCGCCCAACACCTTCGAGGCGGTCCCCCGCTACCGCCCTCACCGCCTCGCTGTAACCCCCGACGCCCGTCGCTGCCGCCACCCTCGCCGCCACCACCCTCGCCTCCTCCGCCTTCCCTCGCCTCCTCCGCCTCCGCCTCGTCGCCTCCGCCTTCGCTTCACCACCGCCAGCACTTTCGCCTCGCAACCTCCGCCTTCGCTTCGCCACGGTCAGCACCTCCGCGCTACCTCGCTCGCCGCCACCGACCGCCACCGCCACCGCCCCTCGTGCCGGCGCCCCTCTCACCCCCGCCGCCGTCATCACCACCCCGTGGCACGTGCGTCGTGCGTGCGTCGCCGACCAAGCTCGCCAGCTCCACCTCTTATACTCCACACAATGGACACACGCCCGAGTGCGGCACGAGGCTCAAGCTGGCTGCCGCCGAAGCTTTGTGGCAACGTCCGCAGCACCAATCTCGTGCCGGCGTTTCCTCTCCCACAGGACGTGGACGGTGTTGCTGCTGACCGCCTCCACCTGAACCTCCCACCAGCACTCCTGGTGAAGGCCAGAGCACTGTAAAAAAGACTGCGCCGGCATTCCTCATCTCTTTCCCGCCTGGGCGGGGCGGTGGGCGGGCACGCGGTGCAGTGCGGCGTGTGTGTGCGAGTGACTGCTACCAGGGACCATGGGCTTGTATTATAGGCGCTCTCAAAAAAAAGACTTCTTTCTGACTCGCAGGACCAGGAGATCGGGCCGAGGGCTCGCCCCGACGGGACTCTGGGACTGGGGCCGGCCGTGTAAGGTGCCTATATGGGCTTCCAGTATCGGACCTTCAAGACATGCGCTTTTGGCCGGTGGCCTCCTCGGACAGGCCGGGGGCCGGGCGAGCCCACATGAGGCGTACCCGTGTGGTACGTGCGTGGAGTACGGTGTCGTGTGTCCGTTAGTTAGCTCCGAGTAGAGGGGGCGTTCTTTCTTTCTATTCAACCTCTCACTCGCTCGTCCGCACCCATCACCGCTCACGGAGTGCTCCGCGTGCCGCACCGGCCGCCGCCAGCCGCCGGCCGCTCACGGTATAACGGATACGGAACAGTGTTACTACTCTACTCCGCAACGTTGAGCTGGATCAAACTGAATAGTGCTCCTGAAAGCCCTCTACAGCTCACGACTAGCAGCTGGTGTGGCTGTATTTGTAGCCATTTTTAGGCTTCAACTGGTCCCAAAATAGTAGCAACACCTCATGAAAATCAGTCAAAAAATCCCCAAAAAACGATCGGCGCCTGCGGCGGGCCTCCTGGGGCTGCGCCCCAGACCCCCTTGACTGGGGGGACCCCCCCCAAGAGCACCCCCGTCGCCCCCGGGGGCCCGTCGACACCCCAGGGCTTTCTCCCAGGGCCAGTGCGCTACTTGCGGCACGGCGCGCAACGCCTGCTCAATACGCGCACCGTACCATGTGCTGCCTGCCGCTATGGAATGCCTGTCTTAAGGCTGCTGCGGCGAAGCGGCGGGCGCGGCATGCCGATGGCAGTCCAGTGCGGACAATGCGGTTGCGCTGAGCCCTGGCTGTCAGGCTGTCAGGTGCTGTCAGGTGATCTGTCAGGCTGTCGGGCACTGTCAGGCGCTGTCCGGGGTTTGCTGTCAGGCTGTCAGACCAGGGCTCAGGCGGTTGCGATGTGTTCTGCTTCAAGATCGTGGCGGTGCTTGGCATGCACTTCTGCGATCCCCATCAGCTCAGCGCAACGAAGCAGCGCAACAAGCTGGCTGCTGCCAACAAGGCCCTATGCTACCTCACGCGCGGATCGTTCAAAGAGGACCAGCGCATGCACAGCCACACAGGCTTCTCTGACGGGCGTTTGTTTGAGCTTGAGGCTATTTGTGAGAACTGTTTGGCTAGACATCGCTGAAGATTGCGCTCAAGAAGCAGCAACAAGAATCGGAAGAGGAGGATGCTGAGGCGGCGATTGCTGAGCATGAGGAGGGGATCGATCCGGATTAGTAGGCGCCCGCTTGCGCGCCGTACTGGGCTGGGTTTTTAGGCATTGTGGGGTTGGCACTCCCATCGACCCTCATGACCTCCTGCGGTCTCTGAGATGGACACCAGTGGGTGTGGGACCACAGCCAGGATACACTCGAAGGCTGGGTAAGCAGTAGAGGTCGATACTCGACGCGTCCCACATGGTCTGTGTCGCTGTCGGCACGCTGTCCTCGACAGGACGTCGAGCGACACCGGTGGCAGTGCCACCCAGGAGTGGTCGGGCGGTCTCCCGTCATGAGAGAGCCACCATGTGATCCGTATGATGATTCCTGACAACCGCCTCAGCCAACTTTTGTCACAGTTCCCGCTCTGAGAGGAGCTGCGGGTCAGTTCGACAGCTGGAGCTGTGTCGCCGGCGTGCGGCGGCCTGCCTCCGGAGGTGCCTCTGAGGTGGACATTTTTTGGTCACCGTGAGAGAACGCGTTCGTATTTTCACTCCGGAACTTCAACTCTGCACGCGCACCGGCCAGGGCTAGCGCAGACCGAGGGGGGGGTCGGTCGGGTTGGCTCGAGGGTCACAACCAACACACCGCACACGCTGCTCGCCGCAGCTGTGAATAAATTAGTATCTCGAAATAAGAGACCAAGCGCCCTCTCCCCGTCTAATCACTCCTCGTCGTCCGAGTGGCTGAGCTCGAGACCGAGACGCTCAGGATTGGGTCGGAACACGAGCTTGTCCATGTCCACGCTCTGGTCGTCGTCGTCCATACGATTAATTAGCTTCGCCGGCGACACACTGTTTGTGTACCCGTTGACGAGCCGCTTGAGCGCGGCCAGAGCTTGTACAAAGCGACGGCAAGCAGGACCAGGCCTGCGACTGCGTAGATGCTCCACATAGATGTGTGGGGTCGGGCTTGCTTGCTCGGGCCTCGGCGAAGAAGTCTCCTTGGCGCTTGGCTGCGTACCACCTTCGTAACTAGTTTTTAAAACCGGCGATTACGAAGCGCCCGTGGCGGTTCGCGAGAAGGAGAGGGAGAGAGAGCGTTTGAGGGGGCTCACGGCAAGGACACCGACCGAGGGGGGGGTCGGTCGTCACACCTCCCGCCGCCGAGAGAGCGACCGACCGGAGGGGGGGTCCGGTCCACCTCGGGGGCAGACCACCGACCGGCGGGGGGGTCCCCACGAACTAGGGGGGGTGGGTACAAAATGACGCTCGTATCACTTGCCTACAATCGCTGTGAATTCCCCAGGGCCTCCAGGGCTCGCACCTCAACCTCTCACAGACCAGCGCACAGCGCCACAGGAGGTATTTTCTTCTCAATAACAAGGCTGTGAACCCAGCCACGTATCGTTGATCACGGTGGCAGCCAGGCCGTGCCACGGCAGACTCTTAGCCCGTGTAAGAGGGCTCTCGCTGATCTTAGACCGCGTAAGCACTCCAGCGTGCCTAGGCACACTTAGACCCGCCAAGCCTCGAGGCTCAGAACTTAGACTACTACCCAACGTACGAGTCCGGCGTCTCTGTGGACTCGGCTCCGTCTGCACACCACTGCAGGAGCCCGCGCCCAGCCACAGCGCACAGGCCCCAGCCCAGCCAGGCCGCCCGGTCCGGCCGCCGCCCGCGCGGTCTGCTAAATAAAAAGTGTAAACCCCTACGCCCTAGGAGCAGAATAAGCACCCCCCACTGCTTCCCGCAGGCGAGAATGGACTCAATTCGAATTAAATGGGTTCGCCCATCTGCCGGCGCCCATCATTCCGCTGCACACCTCCACGCGTCACCGCCTCGCCGTCG